ATATTCCTACCGTCCCTTTTATTCGATACCTTAGGGTATGTAGTTAAAGTACTCCTCAGTAGACAGTCGATTGTATTTGCTCCACGCTTTATTTCATCAGGTATTCCTCGGTGATGTGGACCCCAAAGCTGGAGCTGAAACTTTAGAAGATTTCCAGAAACGTTTTGGGGAGCAAAATGTCAAATTCACAGCTTTTGATGTAACAGATCTGGCAAAATTTGAAGGTGAGAAATTCTTAAGATTTTAAGAGGAACAAATGAATGTAAATACGATTGCCAGCACTTGCCTGGTATCAAACTGCTTTGGAATTCAAAATTACTGAATTCTGAAGTACAAATAATTCTGTCTTTTGTTTGGGGCATTTGTGCTACCATTCTCAATTCTCAAATTTACTCTTCGTGTTCTAACTCTGACTCGTATCTAATTGCTGAATTAATGTTAGACAGGCTTTGTTTTTGTTTTTAACTATTCTGCAGATTAAATTCAGATCGTTATAAGGTTGTGTAGTTAATTCTTTGAGAACGTAGGGAAACCAAAGCCAATGTTACAGCTCACACACAAATCTGAAAACTGTTTTTTTATAGTTCACAGCATCCATGTTATTGCCTGCATCTTTTAAGCTGTAGATAGAGAAAACAGAATTTAAAATTCTGTAAGAATAAGGATATAGTTCTGCGTATTTTCTGTACCCCAAAACAGCAGGTTCTCAGGGAGTGAACCGTATGAGGAGCTACTCAAGAGTTTATAGTACGCTCCAGTGCCGAAGACAAATACACCTAAGTTTTATCGAGTAAAAGTAATAGAAGAAAACGGAAAGAAGCGGGCGAGGCGAGGGACAAACATGGCCAGCAGCTGCAGCTGTTGTCCAGTTTCTTTGGGAACTTTATTGATACGCCGAAGGTTGGGTTTCCGAGTCTGTGCGAGGTAGAAATTTTCTCATCCTTTCTATGATGTTTTCCTCTCAGCATAGCTATCTGGCAGAAAACCAAGTGTTTCGCCTTTGAAATCCCTTCAGTTGTGCCAAGTACGATATGACACTTATGCAGTTAAACAGACAAGGATTAAACAAACAACTTTTATAAACATATTAATAGTGACACAGACACACACATGAAGCATGCAGAGGGGAGAAAGAGAGAGGGAGGGAGGGAGGGAGGGAGGGAGGAACGAAAGACATAGAGTGAGAGAGAGAGAGGGAGGGGAGGGGGGGAGGAAGAGAGAGAGAGGAAGGAAAGGAGAGAGAGAGAGAGAGAGAGAGAGAGAGAGAGAGAGAGAGAGAAAGAGAGAG